GAGGGCAACCTCTGCAACTTAGCAAGGCCCTAAATAATTTAATGAGACCTTGTCTCAAAGTAAAAAAATAATCAGGACTGGGGATGTAGCTCAGTGATACAGCACACCTGGGTTCAATCCCCAGTATCCCCAGTACACCAAACCAAACCAAACAACAATAAAAAGTACCCACAACAAAAGAAGCCAAACAAACTTTAAGTGATATGGAGAAATTTAGTGTTGCACATACATAAACTGACCCAGTTCCTCTAAAGAACTGAAATTCTTGCAGACATCTAAGGGATGTTTTCTGGGGGAAGGCAGAAGAAACATTGTAGAAAAGTGCTAAGAAGTGCTATTAAGGAAATTAAGGAGCCACAAGAGTTCTCTTGAACTTGACATTTAAGCTAGGACCTTAAACTTGTTACATTTCATACTCTTTTAAGTCAGACATACTAATTTTTTTTTTTAAAGAGAGAGTGAGAGAGGAGAGAGAGAGAGAATTTTTAATATTTATTTTTTAGTTATCGGCGGATACAACATCTTTGTTTTGTATGTGGTGCTGAGGATCGAACCCGGGCCGCACGCATGCCAGGCGAGCACGCTACCACTTGAGCCACATCCCCAGCCCCCAGACATACTAAATTTAAAGCGGCTGATGAAAATTAAATCATTTTCCATTCCTTGCCTACTAAACTGATGAAGATATTTTAAATTTTTAGTACAAGTGTAGAGAAAATGTTGCATATTGCTGTCAGAAGTATAAAGTTTAAACCACATTTTTTATTGGTACATCATATTTATACAGAATGATGAGCTTCATTGTAGCATATTTGTATATGCATAAAAAGTTGATCAATTTCACTCCTCAATATCTCCCTCACCATCTCCTCCCCTCTCCCCTCATCCTCTTAAACCACAAATTTTAAAAATGCATGTAGTGTGCATGCTTTTTGATTCAACAACTATACTTAGAGAAATTAATCTAAGAAAATAGTCTGGAATGATCTACCAGGATGTTAGTAATGGCATTATTTATAACATGGAGCAAACAGAAATAATGACAATGTCTAACAGCAGGAAGTTAATTAAATTATGACAATACATATTATAGAATATGTACTCAATAAAATTATAGTATTTAATGATATGGAAAAATTCATATTAAATGAGAAAAGCAAGTTACAAAACAGCATGCATAATAAGCCCTATTTTATTTTTATTTCTAAAATATATTTATGCAGAGAAATTAAAAAAAAAAGGTACCTAAAAATGTTAACAATGCTGTCTTTGGATGGGGCAATTATTTTTCTATTTAGTCTCCAATTTTTAAAAGTAATAGTGAATTACATTCATGATTGGGAAACAATGTCATTAAAAAAAATTATAAGTTGCTCAGTAGGAATTATTCAAAAGGTATTATGGTCTTAAGAAGAAATCATTTTTTGCTATTGACCAACCAAAAAAGCAGAATTCTTCACAATTTGTAGTTTTATAAATATCTGGTGGATAAACAGAATGAAAAAAATGGCCTCAGACCACTATGGAGATCAGTATGGAGGCTCCTCAAAAGACTAGAAATGGACCCACCATATGATCTAGCTATATATACCACTTGTGAGTATTTACCCAAAAGTCAGCATACTATAGCAATACATGCATACTCATGTTTATACCAGCACAATTCATAACCCAGTTATAGAACCAAACTAGACATCAACATATAAATGGATAAAGAAAATGTGTTATATGTACACAGTGGAGATTTACTCAACCATAAAGAAGGAAATAATGTCATTTGCAGGAGAATATAATGAGAACATCTGATAAGTGATCAGAAAAGTGATCTCTAAGTGAGATAAGCCAGACTCAGAAAGTCAAGGGTACTATGTTTTCTTTCATATGCAGAAACTAATGTATTCTCAAATCTCTACTAATTGCTTTCAGCAGTCACTCTTAGGATGAGATGTTCAAATTGAATCCTATGTGAGAGTGCCCTCTGGTGGTTCTAGCAATCCTGCTTTGTACGTTTGAGGTAGTGGTACTCCTCATCCATGGAAATGTGAGAACTGGATAGTTTTTCATGAAGCTGTTTGTTCAGTGTAAAGGCCCATCCCACTATATGTAATTTTTAAGTGCCTGCTAAAACAAGTAAGTGGACATTTCATAAAAATGTTATTGATGCCAGACACGATTGTATACACTTGAAATCCCAGGAATGTGGAAGACTGAAGTAGGAAAATCAAAAGTGCAAGTTTGAGGCCAGCAGGGGCAACTTAGTGAGATTTTACCTCAAAATAAAAAAGGGCTGGGATGTAGCTCCATGGTAAAGTGCCCCTGGTTTCAATTCCCAGTACCCCAGTGGCGGTTGGGGGTGAATGCAGATTTCTATTCCTGGGGTTGGGGGTGGGAAGAACAGGGGAGGTGATGCTGGTGGTGGAATGTTTATTTGTTTAGCAAAACAAAAATCAGCAACCCATGAACATCAAATCCTATCAACTACAATGTTAATCTATATTTCCAGTACAATAAAATCAAAGTTAATTCTCCTTTTGACATATGAGTGTGTGGTCTGGGCATTTTGGAGTAGAAGAAAATTTTATCTTATTTCAGTCTTTTATTCTTTCTACATTTATAACATCTCAACCTTTTTAAAATTTTGAGTATAAACCAACCTGGAAAAAAAAATGAACCATTTTGCAAAGATATATCAACACAGCCGGCAAATATTTTAGATTATCAAATTTCTATCAAACTTTTTAAATTTTTTTCCACAATAATTAATAGTTCATAAAAAAGTAGCTACTTAAAAACATTTCCTTTGAGTAATAGAGGGTAGCCATTACTAATTATTTCCTTTGATCTCTCCTACTCACCATTCTTCACATTTTACAGACCATTGGGACCTTCAACTAAATTTCCTTTACTAAAAGGATTTAACAATATACTTTCAGAAATTATTTTTTCACATCAACTTTACAAATATCACAAATATTTTACAAGTCTAAATAAAGCACTTTCCCTCCTGAAAATTCCTCACCTGCTCAACAGAAATAACAGGGGCAGCAAAGCTTCTCAAGGTTCTGTGTACATTGCTGTAACACTATAGTCTGGTGAAACATTTTAATCTCAAGAGCTGCAGCTGTTGTTTGCATGTGTTCTTGAAATTAGCTTTTTTTTTTTTTTCGGTATTTGGGATTGAACTCAAGGATATTTTACCTTTGAGACACAACCATAGCTTTTTTTTGTTTTTGTTATTTCACATTTTATTTATTTAATTCTGTAGTGCTGGGGATCAAACCCAGGGCCTCATGCATGCTAGGCAAACACTCTACCATGGAGCTGACTCCCCAGTCCAGCCCTTTCCATTTTGAAAAAGGATCTCGCTAAATTACTCAGGCTGGCCTCAAACTTGTGATCCTCCTGCTTGGCCTTCTGAATCATTGGGCTGATTGCAGGTGTGCACCACCGTACCCAGTGCTGGTGTAATTTTTAAGACAGAAAAAGAAAAAAAAAAATCAAAACCAATTATATAACATTCTTTCTAGAGAAATCTCTAGGAAAATACATTCTTGGGTGAAGGAGATCAACCCATTTGTCATTACAACGTACTGAAGGTTTTGGAGCCTGGCAGTTCGGATCCTGGCTCCCCAGTCTGCTAGGTAGAGTTCAGGACTCTCAACCTTATCTATATAATGATAATGATGCTCCTTTCCAACCTCCCCACCCCTGCCCCGACTATTTTTAGTTGGCAATGGACACAAAAGTTTTATTTTATTTATATTATTTTTATGTGGTGCTGAGGATAGAACCCAGTGCCTCACATGTGCACTCCACCACTGAGCTACAACCCAGCCTTGATGCTCCCTCTTAAGAGAATTATTGTCAGAATTTAATAAAATTTGCAAAGAGTCTAGCAGACAGTAAAAACTGATTAAAATATAACTAAGTTAATTATTTCCTAAAGCCAATGGAAACACTGCAACATCTATTTTCTGGATTGTCTTCGTAAGTTTATTCTCAAAGGCAACTTGGAAACACCTTCGTGAAGTCAAGAGGGAGGGAAGAGCGAGGACACGGGGAAGTACTGGGGAGCAAAATGTACCAAATTATGCTATGTCCGGGTACAAATATAACCGCAGTGACTACAGCTTTTCTATATAATTACAACGTACCAATTAAATTGGATAGAGCAAGCAGATGGGGTAGGGAGAAAAAGGAAGATACAGTGAAATGAAACTGATCAAATTATGTTATGTGTATGTACAAATACAGCATAATGATTCCCACTATTAGGTAAAACTAATGCACCAATGAAAATAAATTTGAAAAATTTCTTCAGAAGAAGCATGCATATTTTATTAACCATATTTACACTAATGATAATGTTTACATGATGATGTAAAAATACTCATACTAGACACATAAAAATAAGTGGTAGCCTTTAATATCTCAAAAGGAAAATAAATGAAATCATTTCTCTAAATAAAAATGTAAAGTCCAGGATTAATAAATACATATTCTAATATATGAAAAGACATTTTATTATTATATTACTAAATAACATATTAGTGAATACACCAGATTGCATTTTCTCAAATGGCAAATGAGACACCAGATAACATTTTTCTTTGATTCTCCCAGGAGTCTCAATATCATCTGTCTTTTGGAGGATTCGGATTCTTACGACGTCTATGATACCTTGAAAAGAAGAATATATCTGAGATAAATTATTTTAGTAAACGTTTATTACTTCTGATAGAAATCTCAAATGTCTATGATTATTTTGCTATTTTTATTAGAACTATTTGAAAAAAATCAATGAAACTTTATACATACATTTTTGGATACATCTCAGATATTTCTTACTAAACTACATTCTCCCAGTGTGAAAATTGCTTCCTATCAATTAAGCATTTTGGAAAATCTTCTTTCAGATCTTGAGGACATTTTCAAGGTAACCTTAATTAAAAACTAATAATAAAATTTGTCTTTATAATAAAAAAACACTATATCATAAGCATGTTCTATTACAGTTTTATTTTAAAAACTGAACAGAAGCCACTTGATCTACAAAATTATATTTTAATATCATCAGGAACAGTTTACTTTTGTTTCTGATCACAAATATGTTAAAAATTATAATGTCTAATCCAAGCATGAGTGTGGTGAAATCAGCCTTGGCTGATTCAAGTATTAATTGGTGCAATACTTTTGAAAAGCAGAATGGTAATATTCACAACCTTCATTTAGTACAGGTTGAACATCTCTTATCTCAAATACGTGAGAACAGAAATATTTCAAATTTTGGAATTTTTCTTTTTTGTAATAGTTTGATTTTAGAATAGCTGCATATACGTAATATCTTGGGGATAGGACCCAAGTCTAAACAAAAAAATTTGTTGGTTTCTTATACAGCTTACACATATATCCTGAAGATAATTTTGTATAATATTGTTAATGTGCCTGCATTTTTACTACAATCCTTAACATATGATGTGAAATTTTCCACATTAGTGCTTGAAAAGTTTCAGACTTTGGAGCATTTTGGATTTCGGATTAAGGAGGCTCAACCCACTATTCTGGAAATCTATCCTAAAGTAATACAGAAAAATAATTAAAATATTAAGACAGGGATATATGATGCAAATTCACATATGATTACAACCATGTAAAAATAAGCAACTAACCAAGCTTATGAATAGATCTAGAGAAAAAAAAAAATGCACTGTTAACAGTGATTATTTTTGAGTGATTTCACTGTGGAGAATTTTTCTTTTTGTTTCTTCATATTTCTTTATTTTCTTTACTGAGTTAAGAAAATACAGAGTACAGGCTAGGGTTGTGGCTCAGTGGTAGAGTACTTGCCTATTAGCATGTGTGAGGCACTAGGTTCAGTTCTCAGCACCACATAAAAATCAATGAATAAAACAAAGGTATTGTGTCCATCTATAACAAAGTAAATTTTAAAAAAGAAAATACAGAGTACAAATGTGATTGATTAGTTCTCTTCAAAACTTCCCGTATAGTAAGATTTTTGGCAAGGTGGTCAGGAGTTAATTTTCTTTGCTTTTTTGCTAATGTGGAAATTCCATTTAAAAATTTTTATTCCACAAATGATAAGATATGTATCTCATGCTCTTTAGTTTTGTTTGTGATCACAATACCTAAGCATGTTTTGTTTATCTTAAAGTTTCATATAGAAAACTTCCTGATTTTTCTGATATTGATTTTTTTTTTTTTTTTGCAGTGCTGGGTGATAATGATTTTTTGAAAATGTATAAAAGAACTAAGTTGAAAAGAATAAAATACGCCTCTGCATGCTAACATGAAAAAGTAAGTTGCAGAAAATACCTAGAGCATAATAACCAGCATGAACAAATTTATTTCCAGATATTTTGATCACAACTTACTTAAACCAAAAGAAAGTTTAAAAAGGATATAACAAAGAGCAAAAAAACAATAAAATAGAAAATAGAAAAACAGTAGACTTGATAAAACCAAAAAGATGATTCTTGGAAAAGATCAACAAAATTAATCATATCAAGAATGTGAGGGCTGGGGATGTGGCTCAAGCGGCAGCACGCTCGCCTGGCATGTGTGCGGCCCGGGTTCGATCCTCAGCACCACATACAAACAAAGATGTTGTGTCCACTGAAAACTAAAAAAAAAAAAAAAAAGAATGTGAGAGGTGGGGAGTAGAGGGAGGGGTGGGGATGTGGGGCTGTGAAGGGAGGTAGAATGAGACACTCTCCATCATGTACAGCCAGAGGAATGAGAAGTTATGCTCCATTTGTGTACAATGTGTCAAAATGCATTCTACTGTCATGTACATCTAATTAGAACAAATTTTAAAAATTAAAAAGAAAAAGAATGTGAGAAGTGACATCACTATAATATTTAAAAGACAATAAGGAAATACAATGATCAACAATATGCAAATAAACCCAACAATTTAGATGAAATGGGCAAATTCTTTGAAAAACACAAACTAACACAGTGTCCTCAAGAAGAAACTTTTGATAAACTAAAGAGCCTTTACATATCAACTAAACTAACTAAATGTGTAATTAAAACTTCCCATAAAGAAAACTCCAGACCCAGATGGCTTGCTTCCCTGGTGAATTCCTTGGTTTGTTTTTTTTTTTTTTTTTTTTTGGCCCTGGGGATTAAACCCAAGGCACTTACCACTGAGCTACAGGCCCCCAGTCTTTTTTTAATTCTTTGATTTTGAGACAATGTCTGAGTAAGTTGCTTAGGGTCTCACTAAACTGCTGAGGCTGGCCTTGAACCTGTGAGCCTCTTGCCTCAGCCTTCCGAGTTGCTGGGATTACAAGTGTGTGTCACTTGTAATTTGGCTTCATTGGTGAATTCTAACAAACATTTAAGAAAGAAATAGGATCCAATTTTTACACATTCCTCTGGAAAAATGGAGAAGAAGGTATACTTCCGTATCTATTTTCTGATGGAAGCATTACTGACACCAAAAACAGATAAAACTACAGGCCAGTATCCCTAATAAAGATGTAAACATTCTACACAAAATTTTAGCAAAATGAATTCAACAATAAATAAAAATAATAATACATCATGACCAAGCATCAGTTACCCCAGAAATAAAAAGTAAACTTACTATTTAAAATCATTTAATATAATTGACTATATTAAAAAGTAAGAAAAACCAAATGATCATCTTAATAAATGCAAAAAAAGCATCCAAGAAAATTCAACACCCATTCATGATAAAGCAAATCAAAACAAAAATACTTCTCCATGCTAGGGACTCCCTAGAACTATGCTAGAAGGGACTTCCTGAACCTGATCAAGGCATCTACATAAAGACCTATTACTGAACACTAGACTTTTTGATGTTAAAAGATTCAGTGCCTTCCTTCACTAAAACTGGGGGAAAGACAATAATATTTGTTCTCAGCAGTTTACCCAACATTGTACTTAAGGTTCTAAGCAATAAGAAAAACAAAACAAGAAGCACTATAAAAAGAGAAGTAAAATTGCCTTTATTCATAGGTCCTATGATCATCTATTAAGAAATCCTAGCAGGGTGTAGCAGCACACGCCTGTAATCCCAGTGGCTCTGGAGGCTGAGGCAGGAGGATTGTGAGTTCAAAGCCAGCCTCAGGAAAAGCAAGGCATTAAGAAACTCAGTGATGGGGCTGGGGATGTGGCTCAAGTGGTAGCGCGCTCGCCTAGCATGCGTGCCGCCCAGGTTCGATCCTCAGCACCACATACAAACAAAGATGTTGTGTCCACCGAAAACTAAAAAAAAATAAATATTAAAAATTCTCTCTCTCTCTCTTTCTCTCTCCCTTTCAAAAAAAAAGTTATAAAAAAAAAAAAAAAAGAAAGAAACTCAGTGAGATCCTATCTCTAAATAAAATACAAAATAGGGCTGGGGATGTGGCTCAGTGGATGACTGCTCCTGAGTTCAATCCCCAGTATCCACCCCCCACAAAAAAAGAAAAAAAGAAAGAAAGAAAGAAGAAAATCCTATATATGGGCACCATGATATGCCCCTATAGTACCAGACATTCAGTAGGCTGAGAGGGCAGGTCTGCTTAAGTCCAGGAATTTGTGGACAGCCTGACCAACACAGTGAGCCCTGTCTCAAAAAAATATGCCATTTTCAATAGGAAGATTGAATATTGATAAGACTGAATATTTTTTAGCTGTAGATGGGACACAATACCTTTATTTTATTTATTTATTTTTTTTAATGCGGTGCTGAGAATTGAACCCAGTGCCTCACACATGCCAGGCATGCACTCTCCCACTGAGCCACAACCCCAGCCCCAAGACTGAATATTGATAAGACATTAATTCTCCTGAAATTGATCTGCAGACTGAATTCAACACTCTTTAAAATCCTACCAAGCTTTTTATAAATTGATAAGCTGACTCTAAAATTCATAGGGAAATGCGAAAGACATAGGATGACTAAGAAAATTTGAAGAAATAACAATACAGAGGACTTTACCTGATTTTAAAACTTATTTACTGTAAAAATAGAGATTAATTGAACAAGATTACCAGTACCAACATATATGGTCAACTGACTTTCAACAAAGGAGTTGGACCAATTTAATGGAAAGGGACATAATATTTTCAACTAACGATGCTAGAATAGCTGATATGCATATGTAAAAAAAGGTACCTCAACTAATGCCCTCACACTGTATATAAAAATCAACCCAAATAAAACTTCTAGAAGAAATTCTTAGTGACCTTGGGTTAGGTAGAATTTAAGTGGAACATAAAACTCCTGAACTACAAAAGGAAAAATTTGTGAATTAAACATCATCGAAATTAAAAAACACTAGTATCTTCAAAAGCTATTTAGGAAATGAAAAGGCAAGCCACAGGCAGAAAATATTTATAAAGCACACAGCTCACACAGTACTTCAATCCACGGGTCCTATATCTTAATAAGACAACTCATCTGTACAGACAATTCTCTCTTTCTCTCTCTCTCTCTCTCTCTCTCACACACACACACACACACACACACACACACACATACACAAATACCCACTACAAATGTACAGATGGCCACATGAAAAAATGTTCAACATCATTATTATTGGGGAAACATAAGTTAAAAATCACAATTAATCGCTACTACTTACCCAACAGAATGACTAAAGTAAAAAGACAATAATACCGAGTGTTAGGGAGGATGTGGAACAAGTAGAACTCACACTTACTACTGGTGGAAATATCACTTTGACAGTTTCTACTGAATTTAAATGTGTCTTTTTTTATCATATGACCCAGTAATCTTACTTACAGGGATTTGCCCAAAAGAAGTGAAAACACAGCCAGGAGCAATGGTGCTTTCCTGTTATCCCAGCAGCTTGGGAGGCTGAGGCAGGAGGATTGCAAGTCCAAAGCCAGCCTTAGCAACTTAACGAGGTGCTAAGCAACTCAGTGAGACCCTGTCTCTAAATAAAATACAAAAAAGGGCTGGGGGAGTGGCTCATTGGATAAGCCCCAGAGTTCAATTCCTGGTATTAAAAAAAAAAAAAAAAAAAAACAAGAGGGGTTGGGGCTGGGGCTCAGTGGTAGAGCTCTCGTCTCTCATGTGTGAGGCCCTGTGTTCGATCCTCAGCACCACATAAATAAAATAAAAAGATATTGTGTTCACCTATAACTAAAAAAATATTGAAACAAAAAGAAGAAAAATTAAACTCAAAAAAAAAACCAGAAGTGAAAACATGTCAATACCATGACTTAAACATTTATGCAGTTTTATTCATATGAGCCAAATACTGAGAAGTACTCAAAATGTTCATAACTGGAACATAAACAAATTGTGATCCATCCACAAAAAGGAATAAATAAATAAATAAATAAAAACTCTTGAAACACATATTTGATTTTAAGATTCCTAATACTGCCTTTAGTCTTTCTTCCCTTCAGAGGATTTTCGTATCCTCAGTGACTTGGCTATGAGCAACGATTACAAAAGATTGTAGCAATATGAGACATAGAGGAAGGCAACAAATACTAAAAGCCATTACCAAAGTTCAGGGTTAGGCTTAACTGAAATATCTGGATAACATGACAAAACTAAAAGATAAACTTTAAGAGACGTTGTAAATCATGGAAATAAATCTTAAAATATAGTAATGATTTAATGATTTAAATATAGTATGGAAATGCTTGCTAATTTGTTTTCATACACCCTAACATTTACAAAACCCTAACAATTACAAAGATAGGTACAGACCCAGATAGCATGCATAAAAATTGAGTATTAAGTTTAAAAAAAAAAAATCAAGGAATCAAGGAAGGAGATAAAAAATAGAAGCAGGAATTGAAAGACCATGTTGGTCATTACAAAAACAAAAACAAAACACAAATTTTTTTCTTGGGAAATTGACATAGAAATATCACCTTTAATATTGAGATTGTTAAAAGAGGGGCTTTTTTAGACAGGAAAAGACTTTGTTTTATTCTAATGAATCAAAAACTTTGGAAAGAAGTTGTTTGAAATATTCTAAGGATGATGATACTGCTAATAAGACTGAGGAAAAAAACATGGCAGAACAGGCTGCACAGCAACTATAATTAAAACTCTCAGAGTGAATTTCACCAAGATGTACAATAAAAAGCAGTACCCTGGAGAATCTCTGCCATAACTAAAGTTAAGGGAAGACGCTTCTTTTAAACTAAAAAGTGAACACAGCTCCAGAATCCCTAGATCTATCCCTTTAGAACTGTTCCCCACCAGATGATCCACAGGCCCTTCAAACTCAATCAACTGTGGGTTCATCCTCCTTACTCCCAAACTTGTTTCCCCATTCACATAAATGGCATCACTATCTACCCAAACACCCCTGTCAGAGAGGCCTCCTATCTCTTCCCTCTCTCCCTACCATGCATCTACTAATGCTGATTAAAGTCCTTAAATACCAATCTTCTTTCATTTTTCCTTCTTTCTGTTCTCAGTGGTAGTCCATTTAGATCATCAACATTTTTCACCAGACTTCTGTTAATAGTTTCCTAACAGGTCTCCCTAACTCTAGTCTTTCATTGTATCACTTTATCCCAAATACAGAGCCTTCTTAATGATTTTCTAATGTATAAATGATGTACAAGTCAGTTCACATGTTAAAACTGCTCAGCACAAACTCCTTCACAATACTCTTTCTATATTCCTCCACATATTCTAGATTCCATCCAATATGAACTATTGGTAACTTCCCCAGCATACTTTATCTCACTTGCTGTCTCTTCTGCCTATGGAGCTTTCTCCCACTCCCGTAGGTATCGCTGAGCCATCCTTCAAGAGGCTTAATCACCCTTGATTTTAATTGTGTATTTACTTCATTATCTTCACTCCTTGAGTATAAATAACTTAAAAACAGGAATTGTATAGAACTTAGTGGAGCAGATTGTTTTGTTTTGTTTTTGATACCAGGGATTGAACTCAGGGGCAATCAACCACTGAGCCACATCCCCTTTTTTGTATTTTATTTAGAGACAGGGTCTCACTAAGTTGCTTAGCACCTCGCTGTTGCTGAGGCTGGCTTTGAACTCATGATCCTCCTACCTCAGCCTCCCGAGATGCTGGGATAACAGGTATATGCCACCGCACCCAGCACTAGAACAGACTGATGAATGTATATTTGTTAGTTCCATAAATGTATCCTGCTATAAGTGTGCCAGCCCAGTGGCAGTTACACAAGTGAATGAGAACAAAGTTTGCTCAAACAAACACTGTTTATATTTATAAACCAAGTGCCCTCATAGTTTAGTCTGGAAGATAATAGACATGAAAGAGAGAAGATTTGGAGCTGGAGTATAGCTAAGCATAAAAGCACTATATGTTAGGCCCTAACACCACAAGAAAAGAAAATGATTCAAAATATGAAAATTAAAGCCAGAGATAGAGGATAAGAGTTGATGAGAGAAAGGCAAGAGAATTGAAAACAATATTTATTGCCAAATTGTGTGCTGCATCCCAATTATTTTTGCAACAACTCAGTCTACTAAAAGAATAGATAAAGGGCTGAGAACGAGATTAATTTCTTATTAGGAAGCTAAATAAAAATCACACATTAATTAATGACTATCATAGAATAAAATTTTCAAGGCCTTTTATAAAATTCACAGAAAGCTTTGTTTAAATTCTCTCATTAAAATAAAGAAAAATAAAGAAGCATTTCAATTTAACTATAATATATATATATTGATATAAAAACATAATATTGCTAAAAAAGCATTATTTCAATTTAACTATAGTATATATATTGATATAAAAATATAATATAGCTGGGCATGGTGGTGCATGCTGGTAATTCAGCTATTTACCCAAATACCCAAACTTACAAACAGGGATTGTGTAGAACTTAGTGGAGCAGATTGTCTTGATATTTCTATCAGGAGGCTGACACAGTAAGATCACAGTTTGGAGCCAGCCTTGGTAATGTTGTAAAAGGCCTGTCTCAAATTCTTAAAAATAAAGGGTAGGATTAGGGACACAGTTCAGTGGTACTAGGTTGAGTCCTCAGTACGGGGATGGCGGTAGGGAGGGTGGTGTACAATATAATATGTGATTGTACTTGGGGTTAACTTTCTCGTGCAGTACCATTTCAGAAATTGTTAATGCAAGGATAGTTACATGTTCCTTTAGTGTATGTAGTCAGAGTTGAAGAAAGAAAATAAAACTTACTGTCCATGAGGATACCAACGATGCTTAGTAGTAAAGAACATTTTGCTAAGTTTTTCTATCATGGGTCCTTCCTCAAGGTGTTCATCTTTTTCTTCTAATCTGGTTTTTAGCACTTGATCATGTGTTTCTTCATTACTGTGCAAAGGATCTGGTTGAGGAATAGGCTACAAAATAATTAGAAACAAACAACATCAAAATGTAGAAAAAGGTTAGCCAGGATTTGATTGAGTTACAATAAAATAATTTCCATACTCAGTAATTCATTACAGTAACTCAGGGTAGGTAAAGAAGTTATCAGAACAGTTTTGCTTAGTTGTATTACTCAACAAGATCAGAAATATTTTTCCTCTCACAAATTTTGGGTTAATTTTCCAATAATAAAATCCTTATATATCTCAATCATTACAGTGAGACACAATGCAAAACCTTTCATTGAAAATGAAAATTCTTACTGGGCAGGGTGGCACACATCTGTAAACCCAGTGGCTCAGGAGGCTGAGAAAGGAGGGTTGCAAATTCAAAGCCAGCCTCAGCAATTTAGCTGAGGCCCTGTCCCAAAACATAAAAAGGGACTAAGTGTCAGGCACGGTGGCACATGCCTATAATCCCAGTGACTGGGAGGCTGAGGCAGCAGGATCAAAAGTTCAAACTCAGCCTTAGCAACTTAGGAAGGCCATAAGCAACTCATCGAGACCCTATCTCTAGTAAAATATATAAAAGGGCTGGGGATGTGGCTCCCATATTCAATGGAAGCAGGAAATTTTTCAGTGATTTCATTTCAGGTAACTGAAATGCCATCAAATAATGCCTCATGATAATGTGGATCATTTCCCCACAAAGACATTAGTTACTAAACTGCATTCCCAATGCATAAGAGTGATAAAATATATTTCTATCAGTAGGAGCAGCTCATTAAAGCCTTTAAGAAACAATGACTTAAAGTCAGGCATGGTGACACATGACTATAATCTCAGTGACTCAGAAGACATAGGCAGAAGAAAAATAAGTTCAAGGCCAGCATGGGCAACTTTTTTTTTGAGACCCTGTCTCAAAAAAGTAAAAAGAGGGGCTGGGGATGTGGCTCAAGCGGTAGCGCGGTCACCTGGCATGCGTGCGGCCCGGGTTCGAGCCTCAGCACCACATACAAACAAAGATGTTGTGTCTGCCGAACACTAAAAAAATAAATATTAAAATTCTCTCTCTCTTTAAAAAAAAAAATTTTTAAAAATCATTAAAAAAAAAAAAAAGTAAAAAGAGATGTAATGTAACTCAGATAAAGGACCCTGGGTTCAATCCCTAGCACATTAAAAAAAAAAAAAAATCACTGACTTGGGCTAGATATGTAGTTCAGTAATAGAGTATGACCTAGCAGGCACAAGACTCTGGGTTTGAACTGCAGCACAGTTAAAAAAAAAAAAAAAATCACTGACTTGGAGGGTCAAGTTACCTATATTTTAAAATGTAAATGATTAGCCGGTACAGTGGTACATGCCTGTAATCCCAGGCAGCTCGGGAGGCTGAGGCAGGAGGATCACAAGTTCAAAGCCAGCCTCAGCAATGGCAAGGCACTAGGCAACTCAGTGAGATCCTGTTTCTCAATAAATACAAAATAGGGCTGGGGAGTGGCTCAGTGGTTGAATGCCCCTGAGTTCAATATCCGGTACCCCTACACACTTAAAAATAAATAAATAAATAAATAATGATATTAATATACATAACAATGACTATAACATTCAATAATGTTATATTGATGAAATTATACATTAGTAATGATAACATATATAACAATACCTTACTTTACAAAGTACTTTACAAAGTAAGGCATACATAGTAATTATAGTACAATACAAATATGACTTTGCAATGATGTGAAACATTTAAACAGTCTTCTTTATATTCATACACTATTTACTGACAACTACTATATCCTACCACTGTATTAAATATTATAACATACTTATATCAAGTTTAAGTTCAGGAAACAATAAGACCTCTGTAAAAGGCTATATATATATATATATATATATATATGCACAAGGAGAGGGCACAATTGAATAAGGACTTCAGAAATGCAAAGTAACGAAGATATCAGTGGAAGTGGAAGTAGTTGAGTCAGAGTCCGGTAGATAGTATAGTCTAATATAGACAGAAGTTTACGGGGCACAGAAAGATGAGTAAATGATGAAACATATGCAAGAACACCTAAGAGATGATCTAAAAAAAAATAAATCTTGAGAAATCAGATTGTGATAAGCCTTTATAACTAGACCAAAAAGAAACCACTTGCATATTAGTGGTCTAGTATTCCCTCTGAATGTGGGAGAGAATAAGGAAGTATAACAGAGAGGTTAAGAACATGCATTTTGGTCTCTGGTTCTGCTTTGAGTAGTTCTGTGGCCTCGGGCAAATTATTTAAACATACTTTTCCTTTCTATAAAATCAGGAAGTAATATCTGTCTCATTAGAGTTTAATGAGGATTAAGTGAAATAATAATTCATAGTATGCTTTGCTGTCCCTCATGCTCTAAGAGTTTCATAAACAGTAGGTAGCTATTAACATTTCTTTTAAGGCCCCAAACAGCAATAAAGATATATATATATATATATATATATATATATATATATATATATATATATATATATATATATTTTTTTTTTTTTTAAATTGGTTGTTCAAAACATTACAAAGCTCATGACATATCATCTTCCATACATTTGATTCAAGTGGGTTATGAACTCCCATTTTTTACCCCAAATACAAGTTGCAGAATCACATCGGTTACACATCCACATTTTTACATAATACCATATTAGTGACTGTTGTATTCTGCTACCTTTCCTATCCCCTACTATCCCCCCTCCCCTTCCCTCTCATCTTCCCTCTCTACCCCATCTTAAAAGAGCATACTATAGGGATACTGCCACATCAATGATCATGGCAGCACAATTCACAATAGCTAGACTTTGGAATCAACCCAGATGCCCTTCAATAGATGAATGGATTAAAAAACTGTGGCATTTATACACAATGGAGTATTACGCAGCACTAAAAAATGACAAAATCATGGATTTTGCAGGGAAATGGATGGCATTAGAGCAGATTATGCTAAGTGAAGCTAGCCAATCCTTAAAAAACAAATGCCAAATGTCTTCTTTGATATAAAGAGAGCAACTAAGATCAGAACAGGGAAGAAGAGCATGAGGAAAAGATTAACATTAAACAGAGACGAGTGGGGGGAGAGAAAGGGAGAGAGAAGGGAAACTATGGAAATGGAAGGAGACCCTCATTGTTACACAAAATTACATATAAGAGTTTGTGAGGGGAAAGGGGAAAAAAAAAAAAAAACAAGGGAGAGAATATATATATATATATTTTAAAGAGGAAGCATTCCTTAGACATTTAATGTAAATGCAAAAGATCATCCTTTTGTATAAAGTGAAATATTAGTAAAGGTCTTTGAAAATTACTATTATACCCTGAGAGGTACTAGTATATACATGGGATTAGAGCTGTGAAAGTTGTCAGAATTGAAAGGGGGTCAACTGTGTCAAACCCTGACAGAAAAATAAGTACATAAATAAAGCTGGGAGGTTCAGAAGGGGATCTCTGCACACATTACTGACAAGAACTAACACAAGAGCCTCTGCCAGAACCACAACCTTGCACAAAGGCCACTGTAACCTTACACAAAAAATTATATCATCAGGCCATCTGCCCAACTAAAGTCTGGTCAACCTTGGACTGACTCCACCCTTGTTACTGATCCTCATAGGTAAGGATTGCTTCAAAACAACTTTGGTAATCCTCTTCCTTTTGCCTCTGGAAACTTCCCCTTGTCTCAAACTCTTAAATAAACTCATATTTGACTATGGCCTATGGCAATTGTATTCTCATTGCAATGCTCTGCTATTTTCTAATAAACTCTATCTTTGGAGAATCCATCCCCATTGCTATTTAGAGCCTATAATTAACAGTTTTCTTTTTTTTTTTTTTAAGTCTTTTACACCTATTGCTAAAGAGCAAATGTTTTAAATATTATCAAAGTTATTGTCACATATTAATAAATGCTTATTGTGTCTTCCTAATCCTAAGCAGGTCTAATTCTAATTTATCAAAAATTCTCTCCGCTTTGTGTGGTTTTAAAAAAATTTCTATGTGCATAGATAAGAAGACATTGAGATTAATGGATTCTTTAAGGTCTATAACAGTGCCTCTGGCACTCAGAATTCTTTAATGCAGTACTCCTTGATCAAACTTCAAAGAAAGGGTATGTGTTTCAATAAAACAAATGAAATAAAACCGAATGCCAACTGTATGAAATACTCAGAACTGTTATCCTGAATTTCCCTTGTTTTTCCTAAGAATTGTAAAATTTGACTTTTGAAAATTTCCACTAAATCAATTACTAAAAAGACATTCTTGCCAAGCGTGATAGTGCACACTTGTAATCCAGTGCCTCCAAAAGGCTGAGGCAGAAGGATCACAAATAAAAAGGCAAATGTGACTCAGTTGTAGTTGTGGATTCAATCCCCAAGAGCAAAAACAAAACAAAAAATAACAACAATAAAAAACTTAATTTTTATTTACATTTTTACTTTGTTTTCTAAATCATTATTTTTTTGCTCTTTGTTTTCCTAAACTAGAAATACTAAATTCTAAAAAAAAAAAAAAAAAATTTAAATATTAGTATTTTAATCAAACACACATCAGGAGAAATAAAAAGGAGGATCTTTTTATCTGCATCTATGAAAAATAACCAACACATTTTAGATTCAACAATGTTTGATATAAGCCTCAAACCTTCAAGAAATGTATGAGGGTGAAAGAGAAATGAACTGGTGGTTGGAGATGACAACAAAGAAAAAAATAATTGATGGTATGATTTGATGATACAAGTTATAAAGCTAGGAACTGTCAGAGAAAAGAGAAATGATCTGGTTATGAAGATGAAGAACTACAGAATACCTACTACACCTCTAAGCCCAGCGGCAAAGGTTGTGGGAGACAAACAGCAGTTATTTAAAAGGGCTGCTGGGGAAACAATGTCCCCAGAGAACATTCAGGTATATTAGAGAACAAAGGTAAAGGCAACACTCAAGAAGAGAAAACATTAGAAAAGATTTTATCAATGATAGTTAAATACTAATATTATGGTGGGGAAGTTTTCAGAATTGAGGACAGAAGGGATGTAAAGAGTCATCTAGGGATAAGAATGTGAATGCTAAGAAATGACCTGACAATCTTCTGCTTCTTTTGAATAACTGCTACAAGAATTAAGCATGTCATCAAAGAATGCATAAGATAACAACAGAAGAAGGCATAACACATTGTGAACTGGAGATTATACAGCTTCAAACTCAGTGACTGAGGCCTATTTTTGTATATACTGCCCAAAGAAATTAAGAAAAAAAAGAGCACTGGATTAGTGCCTATATCTGGCTAGGATGCAGAGGCAGGAAGAAAACATAGTGAGATTTAAAAAATGGAATAGAAATTAGCAAAGAATAATCTAATTTGTCAAATTAACTAGCACTCTGGCTCTAATGATTTTTAAAAATAGGTGCCACTAAGTATAATCTAATTATTTTTTCCTCAGAGAGCAGACCAAACATTGCCAAATATAGGAGGATGCTATATTATATTAAATAGAAAAAAAAAGCATTTTAAATATAAATTAATAAAAACAGGTCAAACTAAAATAAATTGTATTAAACACAAAAATAAACCCAAACCTCTTATCTAGTGCTCTGGCTTTGAAGACAGAAAAAAATTAAATTGGACCACTTAAACTATATACCCATATTGATTCATTAGAAAAAATTAAATTAAAAAAATCAAACATTAAAAAGATTATCAGGGGGCTGGGGATGTGGCTCAAGCGGTAGCGCGCTTGCCTGGCATGCGTGCGGCCCAGGTTCGATCCTCAACACCGCATACAAACAAAGATGTTGTGTCTGACGAAAACTAAAATAAATAAATAAATATTTAAAAAAAAAAAAAAAGATTATCAGAATCAACAGTACAAAAGTTATGAACTAACAGTCTAAAATGCAAGTTTTTCAAAATTTATTAAATAATAATATGGGATGAATAATGTGTTTTATAGTTTTATACTAGATGTATATAATCCTTAACTAGATATCTACTAAATTTTTTAGACCAGAAAAATGATGTCATAACTGCATTTAAAAAGTTTATTTTGTGGCCTGGGGATGTGGCTCAAGTGGCAGTGTGCTCGCCTAGTGTGCGTGAGGCACTGGGTTCGATTCTCAGCACCACATAAATGTGAAATAAAGATACTGTATCTACCTAAAAACTAAAGAAATAAATATTTTTTTAAAAAAAGTTTATTTTGTATAATGAGAAAAACCTTTAAAGAAAAATGAAAAGAAAATCAAAACTGTTTTTCAAAAAAGCCAAAAGAAGATAAATTAAACAAAGAAAATCAGACAATCCCCTTCTCTTTGGATATTTGTAAGAAATAGGTACATTTCTAACAGAAAATTAAAAACTATTAGTAGATTTTGTCATACATACTTGTGTATGTTCATATGGGATATCCACAGAAGGATGGTAGCATACTATTGTCCTGCCATCAGATGTCAAAGCAAGCTCTACTTTGCTAAAAAAGAACATTTTAGAAAATAGAGTTATACTGTTATTTAGGACAGAATCATTATTTTTACAGCAAAAACTAATTAATCACAAATTGCTAAAGAGAAGACGCTATATCACTGGATTAGCAAACCTGGTAACCTTAACATAGGCGACAACTCAAGACTATCTCACAGAATATATCAGCTTACTACCACAACAAAATGGCTAGGACCTAAACTGTGAGTATATTTTATCTAGCAGAAAATAACACACCATATTATTTCATCATGACTTTAAGATTACATACCATGACAGCAACGCAATGAACATTTCAACTACCAATGATTTTTGATGAAGGATGGAATCTTATATAATGCAAAAACTTTATAGGACTCAACCTAAATTTTTAGGTTAAAAAAATGTTACCTAGTCTAACTTACAACTACTTAACATAGTGCAATTAAAATGCATCGAAAGAGAAGCAGATATGCTTTTACTAAAATTTGCAATTAAAAAAAAATCACATGGTTTAAGAAAATATGTTGCAGTTTCTGCACAACAGACTTCTGTGGAGAACAAAGACAATGTCATGTTACTCTTAATTCTTAGCATGGTGACTGGAATTAAATAAAAGGTATTGAATTAAAAATTTGTAATTTGGGATTATTCAATGTCAAACAAAAGATAAATAATGACTTAAGCTAATAGACATGAACCCAAAGAGAAAACTATAAAAACTAATTAACTTCTCCAAAAAGCTAAGGCAGGCTTCAGGAAGATAGCATTTCTAACAACATGTCTGTCTTATAACAAATTAAATACTCACTGAAACACAATGATAATGATTTCATTTAAAACGTTTATAATCTCAGATACTGAGTAAATAAGAGAATGGAAATAACTTTTTGAAACAAAATTAAAGAAAGAATAATCAAAAAAGCAAGCAGAAAATCAAATGAAATCATTTCAGATACAGCTAAAGACTGTTATTTTTTAATTGAATTTTAATACATACCAATTATAGTCATCTGGAAGAGAAGAAAATGTGGATTTATGACAAACACCAGATAAAGCACTGTCTGCAAAAACCCAAACAGTAAAACAGATTTAGTTAATTGGGGCATATGTTCTCACATAAATTTAAAGCTAGTTTTACTCCTTTAACCAATTTACTATTTACTGTGAAAAAGGTTTGTAGAAAGAGCCACGATTTAGTCCCTATCCTTAAAAGGGTACAGTCTGGGGGTAAGAAAGACAAGAAACAATTGCAACATAAAGGTTAAGTGTTGTTAGCATGGGTAAGCAGTGGGAGAGAAATGGCACAGGGACAGGCTAGCAAATGCAAATGTGCAGGTTCAAGAAAGCCTTCCCAGTAGAAATGATGTCTAAGGTGCTCTGAAGGATAAAGGAATGAGGAGTTGATAAGGGGTAAGCAGTGCTCCTTCTAGAGCAAGTAACAAGAACAAAGATCAAAGATGATAAAGGAAAATAAAGTATTTGGGAATTCTAATGTTTCCAATAAAGAATGTGAAGTATTTAGACATCCCAAGGTGCATAGTTTATAAAAGAGGAGCAGTATGTTTTGATTAAGAAAATTAATTTTGTACAACTTTAAGCATATTTTCCTTTTTTACAATACTTAGAAATTCAAGAGCTTCAATTACTTTAAAAATTTGCAGAAAGTCCTTTTATGTTCAAAGAAAGGATATCTTTAAACACACACACACACAAAATTAGAGGTAGCTCAATATAGTTGTTTTTGTTTTTTGTTTTTGTACCAGGGATTAAGCTTAATTACTGAGTCTCATCATCAATCTGTTTTAACTTTTATTTTGAGAGAGGGCCTTACTATGTTGTTGAGACTGGCTTTGAATTTGCAACCCTCCTGCCTCAGCCTCCTGAGCTGCTGGGATTATAGGCGTGCACCACAGTGCCTGGCAAGTTCAGTATAATTAAAAGCAAATTCTGAATGTGTCTTGGCTTTAGCCAAGAATCAATCTCTCAACAGAGCATCTTGTTCCAGTTACATGGGACTATGACTTACCTCCATTCCTCTCCATGTCTCCAGTATACAACACCATTCACACTTTGCTCAACAATCACTCAACTTCAAAGTTGTATATTCATCCATGAAATCCTTTTTACTCTCCCTCCCTGCTAACCTCTATCATAGGGGAGTCTCTTTTACATGACCCTAAATCAATGCTTCATATGACATTGCTATACCTTTTTTTTAACCCCTTTTCCACCCATATTAATTATTATAAGGACTAAATGGATTAATATGTTTTTTAAAACTATAAAATTCTACATTTCCATGTTGGCTATATATTTTGGAAAGTCTTAAATGCTCTTCTGGAATATGCGGAGGCCCTTTTATTTTTTTTAGTCATTATACTTTCTCTCCCAAATCATGGGTTTTGCTTTGCCTCCAATCTTAATGTCCTTCCTTTCCATATAAAACAACAATATCAGTAATAATACTTTACCTTTGATAATAATATTAATGATAATAGCTGCATAAATGATAATAGATTCATAAAAGAAGGTAGATAGTCCCTGAGTATTGAGATGACTGAATGATAATAGAACGATTTTCTTGAGGAACCTAAATTAACTCTTTAAAATTATCTGACAATAATTCCAATCCATTCATATAAATTAAACAATCACTTATTTATCCTCTATTATAATATATGAGGAACTAGGGACATCAAAAAAGACACAATACATATGCAGGGGGAAATGTAGTAAAAAGACACATAATAATTTTTAGTTATCCAGGGATGGAGTAACCGTTTCTCAGGTAACCTGCATAAAGACTAATTGCTGTTTTAAGGCATGGGCTATATAAAAGCTGATCAGGTCTAACTCCTCATCCACTTTAGGTCCAGGTTCCTGTAAAGGTAAATGGGAAGCTAAACAGCAGGAGCCCTTCTCCCAATTCTCAACAATGAAAATGCTCCTAGAAATTCAAAAGATGACTGCAATTTTTGTTCTGACTCTTGTTTTAGTTTATAGCTAGTCTTCAGCAATCTCCTTCTGTATTTAATTAATTATAAGTTGATTATATTTTCAATGATATGATAATTATAATGCTCTGAGCCTTTATAAAGAGGGGAAGTGGAAGAACGGTGTGCAAGGACAAAGGTTTCCTGGTTTCCTATAAAAGGATTTAGTAGAATGTCTGTAATCCCAGTAACTCCAGAGGTTGAGGCAGGAGGATTGCAAGTTTGAACCCAGCCTCAAGAACCTTTAGCTAAACTCTCAGCAACTAAGTAAAACGCTGTCTCCAAAAAAAAATAGTCAGGACATATAGCTCAGTGGAAAAGTGCCCCAAGTGCAATCACCAGTACCAAAAATATAAAAATAAAAAATAAAAGTAGAATTTAGTAAACTTGTGAACATTATTTAAAAAAAAAAAAAAAAAAAAGTTTAGTGGGCAAACGATTTTTTCCTTGCCTCAAAAGCCCCCAAATTACCTATTCATTGCTTTTTTGCCCTAGTCTTCAAATAGCTCTCTTCCTCTAACTCAATAAATAAACTTTCAATTACAAAGAGTAGTAAATAGGAAATATGAAGGAGAGATTAAAGTCAAGCAGAGATGTAAAGAAAAGTTGGCTAACATAGCTAAACATTAAAAAGCATACCTACTGTAGCTTTGTAACCATATGTACTTTAGAAATAGGTAAACAGAATTAATACAGGAAAAGGAAGCTGGGCATGGTGGTGCATGCCTGTAATCCCAGAGGCTCAGGAGACTAAGGCAAGAAGCCAGCACCTTAGTGAGACTCTGTCTCAAAAGGAGGGGATGGAGGGAAGTAGGTAAATTGTACTGTGGGACAGAGAAAAATGAAAGCAAAAGTTGGGCATGGTGGCACACATCTGTAATCCTAGCTAATTGGGAGGCTGAGGAATGAGGATCATAAATTCAGAGCTAGCCTTAACAATTTAGTGACACTCTTTTCAAAATAGAAAACAACAAGAGCTGGGGATACACTTCAGTGTTGAAGCACCTCTAAATTCAATTTCCAGGAAAAAAAAAAAAAAACAGGAAAGCAAAAAACAGTTGTGGTTGGTTGAGAAATAAGATTATTGTATTTACTTATATGGGTCCATGCTCTGATTATCAAATATATATCAATAGGCTTTTTCAAGATAATTAAAATTAAACAATTCTTTAGAAAACAAAAGTAGAAATTACATTTTGTTTTTTGAAATGGCTATGTCTATAGGAAGAAGTCAAGGAGAATACACAAAAATATTAACAATGATTATCGTTGTTAAGATTAGACTGTGAGCTGAGTGTGGTGGTACATGCCTATAATCCCAGTGGTTTAGGAGGCTGAGGCAGGAGGATTTTGAGTTCAAAGCCAGCCTCAGAAACAGTGAGGCACTAAGCAACTCAATGAAACCCCGTCTCTAAATAAAATACAAAAAAGGGCTGGGCATGAAGCTCAGTGGTTGAGTGCCCCTGAGTTCAATTCTGGGCAGCACCCACCCCACACCCACCCCCCAAAAAAAGATTAGACTTATTTTGCAATTTTAAAAAAGTAACGAGCGTAAATATACGAAGTATAAATGATCCAAATGAGAGAAAGTTACCCTTTATTAGTCCATCACCTAAAACCACTTGTGGTCTACACAAATAACCATATTGGACTCTGCATTTATGCATATGCACACATTCCTGTGCACACAAACATTATCTTTTTAAAACACAGAGGGATGGGGTTGTGGCTCAGTGGTAACACTTGCCTGGCATGTGTGAGGCACTGGCTTCGATTCTCAGCACCACATATAAATAAATTTTAAAAAGTCTATCAACAACTAAAAAAAACATTAAAAAAAAACAACCACAGAATCACATGATAGATACTGTTCTGACATCTTTTCCTCTCTCTTGTATTTGGAGAACTTTTCATGTTGGAAACAGTGGCATGACATTTATAGTTAAGATGTAGCAATAGTAATCCACCCCCTTTTGATTGACATTTAGGTTTTCATCGCTTTTTCTTTATTGCAAACATTCCTGCAAATAGGCATACATAAGTGTTAAATATTCTATATTTGAAAAAGTTTAAAACTCTTTTTAAACATTAAAAATTTAATAACTCACTTTGAACTGGAAATAAATGCTTCCAGAGAATTCTCTTTGATATCACCCATTTGAATGCTATCGATGCCATGGTGTTTTAAGATGATCAGACGATATGATGAAAGATGTTCTGAAGAACAACCACCTTTCAAATCTACTTCTAGGCACATCAATTTTTATTCCTGCTTAAGAGATAAAGAAAAATCAATGCTACCTATCATAAACTACAAGAACAAGACAGGAAGCATTCCCTAACAGGACAGTCATTTGAAGTAAGGATTTCCAACAACTTTGCATTTCCACATAATTTAATAGGACATAAAAAATATCTAAATCTAAGATGAGAAATCCCACTTATATATAATAACCCCATTATTATTTTTCTTTAATGCAAACATCTCAGCACTCAGTGCAGCTTTTTCCACTTACTGAATACTCAGAAAATGTGTAATTGCTTTTAGAATCTGTCACTTACAATGGTACATTGAGCATCCCATCTATAATTAGTAGCAGGCCTGTACCACCTCCTAGTACCACACACAAGACCTTATTACATCACGCAGAGTAATATTCTGTTTCTGATTCAACTAAATATTAAACAAGAAGGCCTATCCTTGGCCTATCACATACTTAGAGAAACACAAATGTCATCATCATAAGGTTCCAAGGTGTTTTCACGACCATTTCATTTTACTCTTATATTAACCATGTGTGGTTTCCTTATTTTGAGCCTTGAAGAAACACAAAATTTGAAGGACTTACTTCCAAGAATTTTAGAGTTGATCAGTTACAAACTGGGAAACTTTGGGCAAATCATTAACTAAATGACCCTCCATTTTTTTTCACTGGTAAAGTGGGGGAAACAAGCACAATGTTCATGAGCTGCTGTGAATAAATAACAAAACTATTATACCCTTTTGTTTAATTGAACTCGGTGACTATTCGTGCCCTTCTCCCAGTGGAGAACGATGAAAGGGAATTAAGACACAGATCCTCTTTGCAGGACTAAAGTATACAGGCGGATTCCTGGCCCTGTTAGTACTTAAGTACTGCTAACCCTGAGTTCATAAGAGTATTATTTACAGTTTACAACCTACTTTCGTATGCAATTATGTGTTCTGACTTTCATAAATCTGTAAAGTAGGCATCTTCGTTCTACATATTAAGAACAAAGTTTAGGGACCTCAAACGATTAATTCGCTCCCCTATTCTCACCGTTCAGTAGATGGCATGGGTGGAACGCAAACCCACGTCTTGTGACAAGAGCAAGAACATAGGACTTTAGAAGCCTTTAGGTTCCCTCTACCCGAGGCCAGCATACCCAGTGGAGGGTCAAACTATTCAGCTCAAGGAGCAAATTTCAGAAAGCAAGTCCCTTGGCATAGAATTCCACCCAAAGCAAAAGCTACTGAGAGCTTCAGGGGCGCTGGGGTTCGTGGAACAGACTCCCAACAACATAGAGAATAACACTCAGGGAGCGATCCGAAGGACTTCGACATGGAGGAGTCCGCGGACCCGCAAGGTCACTCAGCTCCCGCCGAGTGTCGGTCAGGGCACTACAGGGGCGCTACAGGAAGCACGCGACCAGGTGCCGTCCCTTTTACAGGATGGACATCTGGAGATGCCGGCAGCTTCGCCCTGCAGGCTACGACAAGCGGAAGGCCTCAACACCCGCCGATAAGCCTTCTGGGCCTGCCCAAATTCGAGGGACTCCTCCACCAGAGGAGGAGAGGGCAGCAGTTACCTCCCAGGCTACTCACCAGGAGATCGCCATGTTGCCTCAATCCGGGTACTGTGCGACCCCGCCCCCGCGCCCTCCCGGCCCGCGGAGCACTCTGGGAGCGGTAGTCTCCTCGGGAAAGTGGCCCGAGCGCAGAGGGCAGGCTGGGAACCTGCCGCAGTCTCCCGCCTTTGGCTGCAGCCGCTTGGGCTCATCATTGCCAAAGGTGCTCAGAAGAACTAAATCATTGCCCCAGCACGCATCCGTTGACAGTAACGAGTACAGTTTTATTAACTATGTTCATATTCAGAGAACCGCTAGATTATTCCTTGGTAGAAGTAAACTTTTATCTTGTGTAAGCCACTATTTTTCTGATGGTCTTTTACTAACAGTCCAATACTAACTGAAATGACAGAATCAACATATTTCAAATCACAAATGTTTCAAGAAAAATACATAAAAAGAATTAGTACTGGGCTGGGGTTGTAGCTCAGTGGTGGAGCACTTGCCTTGCATGAAGGAGGCCCTTGGGTTCGATCCTCAGCACCACATGTAATTAAAATAAAGATCCATCGACAACTAAAAAAAAAAAAAAAAAAAATATTGAGAGAGAAAGAGAGAATATGAATTAGTACTGTGTGCACCTGTAATTCCAGAGACTCGCGAGGCTGAGGCAGGCAATTTAATAACACCATGTCTCAAAATTAAAAATAAATAAATAAATAAACTGAGCTCAGTGGAGCATCTTTGGGTTCAATCCCCAGTACCAAATAAAAATTAAAAAAAATAAAAAGATTACCACTGGTAAGAACTGAGGCTGTGGCACAGTGGTAGAGTAATTGCCTAGCCTGTGTGAGGCACTGGGTTAGATTCTCAGCATCACATATAAACAAATAAATAAATAAAGGTTCAACAATAACTAATAAAGAAATTTTAAAAAATTACTACTGGTGAAAATGTAAGTTCTTCCACATTATTAACTACAATTCAGATCACAATTTATAATTTACTTTCATTTCAAAAGCTATATTAGGAACACTCCAAATGGGACTTACATTTATATCTTCTCTACCCTTAAGCTAAAACCTTACTATATATAGGACCATCTTACTTCATGCATTAGTTCAGCTAATGTTAGGGAGGCAGTATAGAGGTTATCAAATGAGTTCTGAGGCTCCATCTGCCTAATTTTAATCTTGATTCCCCACTTCTTATCTATGTTGTTTTGGGCAATTTATTTATTTAAATTTTTTGAGTCTCAGTTTTTTCTTTGTGAAAGGTGGATAATAATGATGTTCTCTACTCCATAGTAATGTTAAGTGAATCAAAAAACAGAAAGTACACAAAATGCTTAGTAAGATACTTGGCATGCAGTAAGCACTCCATGCTAGCTAAAATTGTACCTTTAGGTGCTTAATAAAAATTTGAATAACTTACTTTTATGAACATCTACCCTAAGGAGATATCTTATTTCTAAGGCATTCAAATAAAATCTTTCCCTTTTGACTATCAGCAATAGTATAACAAATGTAATTAAAAATAAAAAAAAATATCTGGTGCAGCAGCTCATGCCTATAATCCCAGCAGCTAGGAAGGCTGAGGCAAGTTCAAGACCAACCTCAACAACGAAGCAAGGCTCTAAGCAACCTAGTGAGACCCTGTCTCAAAACAAAAAGGGCTGGGGATGTAGTTCAGTGGTAAAGTACCTTTGGATTCAATCCCCAGTACCAAGAAAAAGAAAAAATAAGTTTAGTTTAAAATAAACAGTAACGATTTCTAACTTGAAGTTGGTGTGTCTTAGGGTCCCAGCAGAAAACAGATGACACACTCAAGATGGAATAATTCCAGGAGAGATTCTTCACAGAGATATGAGTGATATACATGGGAATCACAAGTAGTAGTGGTTAACCCCCACTTAGTTATACCACCCAGGCCTGCAGAGAGAGAGGCACTAGTTGCCAGACTCCTTGAGAGAAGCAGTAATCTTCAGATGAATAACATAGCTGTCATGAGGTGACCTTATAGGAGTACTACAGAGACTAATTACCCTGATCTCTCTTTTCTTCCTCTCTCCTATGAATTAAGGCTCAGTCCCACAAGACTGTCCCCCACTTCAGATACTAATGTGAGACTTAGATATAGATATACAGATATAAATATGGATATAGTGTATATTGTGTTGTATTCTCAAACCCAACTGGACAATAGTATTATTAGGAGTCTTTGATAGGTTTGATTTACTTCAATAAATCACACACACATAAATAATATTTATATATGTGTATATATATATATGTGTGTGTGTGTATATATATATATATATATATATATATATATATACTATGTACATTATGTATTTAAGTACTTCGTGCAGCCAGAAAGCCTGGGGGGGGGGGGGCGGTGAAGGGGCAAATGACAAGAAATACCCTTCCAGGGCACACTCCCAGTGACCTATTTCCTCCAATTAGGCCCCACCTCCTATAATTTCCACCACTCCCAATAATGTCATCAACTTGCGAAACCATCAATGAATTAATCCACTGAGGATGTTAGAACGCTTATGATCTAATCAGTTCCCCAAATTCTCACACCTGGACAGTGTTGCGTTGGGGACTAAACCTTTAACACATGAGCCTTTAGGGGATATTCCAGATCCAAACCATAACAGTCATGATATTTAAATTTATATTTTAAATTTATAAGAATTATTTAGGTACTTGGAAGTATTTATCAGAAAGTTGAAGAACTTGAAAAATGAACACATTAAATTTACAAATACAGTTTTAAATGGGTATATGTATTTAATTGACTCCCGTATTACTGTAGTTGCTAGTCTTGTAAATAGATTAATAAAATTTATTAATTGAACTTGAAAGCTTAAGACTAACTAGACTTCAATAGTTGAAGTTACTTGAATAAATAAAACCAAACTGTGAATGCTCTCCTTGTGCGGGGAAGCTGCCTCAAAGACACTGAAATACATCAACATATAGATGTTTTTGCCCTCATCTTTCAATGAGGGAAATGAGAGAGGAGTGGAAACCAGCATAGACAGGAGGCACTTGACTTGGCAGAATACAGCAAAGGTCAAGCCTGCAGATTGCACCAAGGCTTAGAAATTAACCAAGTGTTTAGGAAGGCAGGTGACAAGGGGGCTGAAGACTGATGGAATGTTTGAAAGTTGGTATAAGGTGCAGCTGGACCCTGGACTTCTGTATCCATCAGCCCGCCCGAATCAGAAATGGAAATCTAAACAAACCCAAGAGGCTCTGGACCCAGGAACACCGTACCTAGAAGAGAGCAGGGGAAGAGTGGCCAACAATGGAGGTGAGTCCCCTGGTTCTCTCCCTCGTCCAGCTCCTGAATGCCAGATCTGTTTCTTACCCCCATGTCTTCCTTTACTGTTTAAGTAAGCTTGAGTCAGTTTCTATATATGAAACCAAAAACCCTGACTAAAATAAAATTTTGCGGTAATTTCATTGATATGTCTCTATCCCCTGCCCATAGGGATAGTTCCATGTTTGATTTTGCTCATCATTTTGCCTACAGAACCTGTTATAGTGCCTCTCACTTAGTGGGCACTCACTAAATGTTTATTGAATAATTGACTGGATGAAGCCTTCTTCATATCTTATACATGGTCCTCACTGTAATAATATACTATATATAAGAATATATATAGCCGGGCACAGTGGCGCACGCCTGTAATCCCAGTGCCTTGGGAGGCTGAGGCAGGAGAATCATGAGTTCAAAGCCAGCCTCAGCAAAAAGAAATTTTCACTAGTAATGCAATGAAACCCTGTCTCTAAATAAAATACAAAAAAGGGCTGGGGATGTGACTCAGTGGTCAAGTGCCCCTGATTTCAATTCCCAGTATCAAAATAATAATAATAATAATAATAATAATAATAATAATAATAATATATAAGAATAGCTCAGTTTCAAAATTTGTCACATCAAATTGAATTAATTTGTTTAAATGTGTTTTCCCTATTAGAATATAAGATCAAAGACTAACAGAATTTGATTAGATATCCTATCTTGTTCATTAAAAAAAAAAAAAAAAAAAACAGTTCCTAGGTAGGGTCTAGTATATCATAGGCAGAGAATTAATGAAGATGGGAAGGAGGGAACATATGACAGATATTATGTTACCACCAAATACACAGTAAAAAAGATGGTGCTCCTTGCCTTGAAGGGGTGCACTGTGTGGCGAGGAAAATAGGTAACCATTATTAGAAGTGGACATTTGTTAGCACATCATGTGTTTTGAAGAGGATGAGAAGACTTCATGGAAGAAAATGAGAAACCAGCAGGCAACGGAGCTGGGAACTTCATGGCAAAAGGCAGTAAAATGTGAAAATCATGGCATTAGAGAAAATACAGGAACAACATATCACAGTGAGGGGCTAAGGGATGCAGCTCTGGTAGAGCACTTCCATAGTGTGTGTGAAGATCTGGTTCAATCCCCCAGCATCTCAAAAACAATAAAGCAACAGAAAGATTGTTCAGTCTGTGGTCTGGGATTGCCTTTAAGAAGTTGTGTTAGAAAGTCAACAGTAGGTTAAGAAAACTTGTCCAGCCAGGCGCGGTGGCGCAAGTCTATAATCCCAGCAGCTCAGGAGGCTGAGACAGGAAGATTGCGAATTCAAAGCCAGCAACTCAATGAGACCCTGTCTCTAAATAAAATACAAAATAGGGCTGGCGATGTGGCTCAGTGGTCGAGTGTCCCTGAATTCAATCCCTGGTATCAAAACTAAAAACAACAACAAAAAAAACACCTTGTCCTTTGGAAACCAAGGTCAGATTCAAGTGGTTTTATGATTAGAAAAGGATTATGTTTTCTGATTGGTGGACTGAAAAATGAACTGGGTCTGCTTAGATTCTTGCTGTCTCCTTCTCCCCCATCCCTCCCCAGTGCTGGGGACTGAGCTCAGGGTCTTATTGTTGAGAGCCACAGCCAAAGGGGCCCCAGCAAACTTCCAGCTGCCAGCAAACTTCCAGCTGCTGGCTGATGATTGACTCACAGCGGCCCCAGCAACATCTAGCTGATTGGCTCCTCGGCCCCAGCAACATCTAGCTGATTGGCTCCTCTGCGGT